CCCAGCCTACTACAAGGTATGGAATCCACCCATTCTGGATACATTTAGCTGACTGGCGAAACAGGATGGCTTAAGCCCTCCATCTTGAATCCATCAGATGTTTACCAGACAAAGTTAATTCGGAGAAGTGTTTAAGGCAGATTTTATTAATTCATTTGACGCAATTGTGAAACCTTTGGCAGTCCAGAGAACTGCGAGCAAGTTGACATTTTAACAACTGGATTAAATTAATTAATCAAATCTGTCAACCCTCCTACTAACTATTTGCACCTAATAGTCAGCTGGTGGATCCCAGATTGGCTGCGTCCATTTTTGACGACTTTGAACGTCTTTTATTTGATACGTCTGTGATTTTGTATGATCTAGCCGGCCTTGATGAAGTCACGGATTATAACTTTCCACGAGTGACGATTGCGGTAGCGGAGCTGGAAAGCTCAGCGAATTCTCTTCTGCAGCAACAAAGACCGAATACCGAAGGTCTAAGAAACGCTCCTAGGTCTTGGTGAACTGAATCGAACCAGGTCTTGGTTTGCGCTAAAATTAAAACGATAAATATGAATATTTTCGCAATTTGAATGGAATCCCTTACAATAAACTCAGTCAAAATATTTTAAACATGTTGGTGTTTTTTAAATTACAATAACTTACAAATTGACTCATAAATTCCGACAAATTTTGGGTGAATTTTGGTGTTTTCAAGCTTTATTTCATATGCGTAGATTCTGTTGCATTTCATATCAAAACCTTTAAGATGTCTACTAAAAGCATTTCCTAAAAAATTAGCTTTTCGATGGAATGGGTTATGTAGTTGGACATGTGCGCGGTATGTTGAAATTCTTTCAAACAGCAGAACACACTGCTGAACAAAAAGAACGTCAGTAACAAAGGTCTGATATTGTTTGTTCCAGGGTAAATTTTAAAAAACTTGCCATAATAGGTTACCTCTTGAAAAAGTACTTTAATTAGATATTCAGCTGACAAATTTCTGCAGATACCTTTTTCCAATATCAAAAGAAAGACTGAGAATTGTTACGAGTTTTTTTTAAGTTACCTGAAGATAATTCACATAATTTGCCCGGAAATGAGAGAACTCACTTTTCTCTTTATACTGAAATATTTTTCACCATAGTTGACTGCTTTCAGATTTCGTTCCAAGCTTGCGAATGCAAAAAGATGGACGAATATATAGTTAGATTTTGATCTAATTCTTATTCTTCTGTCTGTTGCATTTCTAAATTACCCATAAGCTGGCATTAGCGTACGAAAAGTATA